AGAGTCCATGAATTCCCACTCCATCTCCTACTCTTACGACAGTCAGAACTGCCTGACTAATTGTTGTTTTGTTGACAGCTAATTACTAGCAGTTTAATACTTGGAAAAGCAAGGAAGCCCCAAACACAGCAAAACGATAAGGAGTAAAACAAAGCGATAAGGTTGAAGTTTATGAAGGATTCAATACGGGGTTTTTATACAACCCCATGTCAATTTTTGGAAGGATAGATGACGTCATGCCTGCTGCGTAAAGCTAGATTGCATCAATAGCGCATGTGTTTGGAAAAGCAAGCCCTAGACAGCCCTAGCCAAGCTTCAGCTTCCTCAGAAGCATCCGGAAGCGATAGGAATCATACTGTCATACTCTCGATACACCGCAATCCTGTAAACATTAAGCCCCATTTTGGAAGGCCATCAGATGCTGACTGGCTTGTCTATTGCAAGCAAACTGGATGTCGTCGATTTTTTTGCTTGCGTGTAGACATACATGTGCCTAGACCTCGCATTGAGGGCCCTATTGCAGATACATGTATGACAATGGAGAGTTGTCGATGAGTTCTTGCGAATAATGTTGCAAACAGCACTGCAACATGCCATGACATGCCAGCTTTGAAAAAAACATCGGGGGCACGTAGGTACATACGTACGTACAAGTGCACATATCTATTGGTGAAACCGAGAAGGATGGCGCATCTGCGGAGATGGCGCCACCGAGCCTGATCGCCAAGGGCACGGTCGGGAAGCCGAGAGGGGAGGCGATGTCTGGATGTCCATGACGGTGTTCAGGGCTTAGCCAAGCTGTCCTTTTTCATATCGAATGGGGTTGGCAGTAGGAGGCAGGGGGCGGAGCGTGTTGGACTCGACGACTCCAGGGACTCCAGGGTGCTTCGGATGGCTCTATAGCTTGTACCCATGCTGCATTAGTTCTCGCTCAGGTAGATTGCAAAAGCAGCATCAACCTCCTCTCCAAAACTCAAGCAGTACAGAGATCCGACACCCTGAAAGATCCAATCACACAAGCCCCTGAGGTACTTAAGTTAGTCAGTCAGCGGAAGCCAAAGTTGCCAGGACCTGCTCGGCCTTTTTTTCAGTTTGGTAGGGGTGTTAACAATCATTTGTTCGCCAGCTTTGGTGAAGACACGTCACAGGAAGAGCCAAAAGAAGCATCCCATCAGTACGGCATCACTGCACTAGAATCTTCCTCCTCCCACTAGTATGACTGCTACTGCTGCTGCAGCTCATACTGCCAATATTACTGCCAAGCACCGTGGAGGCATCAGAGTTGCATCCAGCTTTTGGCGGCGCCAGTGCAAGTCTGCCCTGGAGGCAGAAGCTTCGAGTGCTTATGTAAATATTATGTCATGTAAGATATGCACTGAGTCATGTAGTCTTGACTGCATTTTTGCACATTTATACAGTAATTTTGTTGGACTTTCTCAAAAATTTAGAAGGCACCCTAAACATCTCTACAGGGACCCCATGATCTCTTCGTGATTCCCACACATTCTTAGCCTTGGCGTTCCGACTCGAGCTCCTTTTTGAGCTATTCCCCCTGACATGGGAGTTGGGTTTCGATATCCTCTTTCCGTAGTTGCACATGTCTTCCTAGGGTCGGCAGGCGCCTATCTCAAGAAACTGTCATGCGCGTTCTCAAAATTGACGGCAGTCCCCTGTACTTTTGAGTACCCCAGGGGATCAACCCCTTACAATTCAAAATTCCTGCCCGATGAAATCCATCTTTGGAAGGCGGAATTACCCACTGGAAGTAGGGTTGGCGGCGCCCCGCGCCGTGCCCAACAGCACAGTATCCCTGCATGCAATGCCCAACCGCAGAACACAGGGTGTGTATCCCAATAGTGCCCAACCAAAGAGTAAACTTTGCAATGCCACCGTGCCCAAGCGCATGCGGAACCACGCAATATCCCCGCAGTGGGAAACCACAGAGTATCCCCTGCAGTGCGCAACGGCAGAATACCCCCGCAGCGTCCAAATGCAGAGTTCCCTGCGGTGCTCATGCTCAGAGTATCCGGGCAGTGCCCCAAAGTTTGCATTGCCCAAGGCCCCCGGAATACAATTCGCAGTTGCTCAGCCCCCAAACTTTATCCCCACTGCGCCCAACCCTAAAGTCTCTGCGCTTGCAACGCCCAACCGCCGAATATCAGAGTATCCCTGCTGTGCCCAAACCAAAGTACCCGAGCCGTTCCCTGCAGTGCCCAACTTCGAGGTATCCCGCCCTGGAGCGGCACAAGCCAGCACAACATTTAGAAGTACATTGCTGACATGGGTTCCATACTGTTGCTGGAGGTAGGTGATAATGCCCGGCGAACAGAGAAACATGAGGGTGGGAATTTTCGAAGTATACATTTAAAGAGTGATTATGGGGACGAGTGTTGTTGGAGGGAGGAAACTGTAGGGCTGTTGGGTTTCCAGCAGTGGGGACTTCGGTTGTGGGATCAATGCCCAGTAGCGGAATCGAGTTGTACGAACAGTAGAACTTCAGGGCAATCATTTGGACAACTACTCCTGCGATTCACGGATTTTAGGAACTTAAAGTTGGCTTCTGGGCATTTTGACTTCAGTTGTCAAATTGCCTTTGAGAGCCTTCATGGGCCTGTCGGAGCTAGGCTTTCTGATCAGCGTTGGGTTTGGAGCTTGACGCGGGCAACAGCGACCCAGTAGTACTTTGGCTTGTAGGCCAGGCTGTGTTTTGTATGACGAGGGTATCCGGGCACACGGCTGCCGGTGATTCTTGCTGGTGACAAAGGGGGTCGTGTGTCAAAATCCGCTTACCCGCCCGGGCATCATCACTGTATGGAAGCGCCAACAGCTTACCGAGAATGGGGCCCATCGCAGCGTAAAAAATGGCAGTTTGCCACTGAGGGGTGAACAACAGCACTCTTGCTGGTATCCCCTGAAATACTCAGATCCTAATTTAGGGACTCCCCGAGAAACCGGTTTTTTTTTTTTACTTACACCGAGCAACAAAAGCCACGTTGTGAGCCAACCCCAAAAGCAGGAGAGATGCTGGCGTGGTGACGCTGGAGGCCTTTGCCGGGGCATAAGAGGTTGAGTCGAAGCTACCCTCCCAGGACACACGATATGGAGCCGTGAAAAGAGCACTTTGTGATGACTCGTCTATCGAAGACTCAGGTCTAGGGCCTGGAGCACGCGCTTTGTTTTAAAGTCTGAACTTTGGATGAGAATCGTTACCCTGAGGCCCCTAGGATTATGATGGGCTTTCTGGGGGAAGGCTTGGGCTTTGGGGGCCTAAGGTTTGGGATTTCGTTCTGAGGGTTCAAGTGCCTTAGGGTGGTGGATCTTCTGCCAGATTAAGGGAACCATACCGAAACGGACTGTGTCGCTCGAGAGGATGCAACATGTAATGCGGCTTTCTGTCTGGAATGTGTTACGAGCGCGCAGCAAGAAATCAAAGCAGCTCCATACCTACGCGGCAAGCAATCTCACAGCCCATCACGGCAAGTGTATCCGATCCGGATCCTGACGGCTTTGCTAGTAGGGACTTGAGCTATTGGGCTTATGTTTTTTTTGAATTGGATGAGGGAGCACAGGCTGCAGGAATAATATTTCTTCATGCCGGGAACACTCTAAATGGGTGCAGTACGAAAGGTGCCTCAGGCCCCGGAGCTCACGCCGCGCACAGCTGCGGCCTCTGCATTGAATTTGGACTTTCACAAGAGCCTTGGCTCAAATATTTCAGCTCGGGCTCCAGACTGGAGAAGGGATGACAAGACTTGATAGTTGCTGGAAGTTGCTTGCAAACGCCTAGAAGTGGTTACAACGGCTTCAGAGGATTCAGCATGATTCCTTCTAGCCTATGTCATGCATGTGAAGAAGACACACCCCGGATTTTGGGCTGTCAAGCTTCGCTTAGCTGATGAGGTTACATGCAGGGCTACGCCACACGTGGCCTGTTGTACAGCCTCAGCTGACTTCACGTTCCCTTTGTCAAGTGCAGCGTTTCTTGGCTCAGATTCCGCCCTAACATTCTGCAGAAGATGGCTCGCTTTGCGTCAAAAGCCTTCGCACTCGCAGCCGTCGTGGCCGTTGCTATGTGGACTCAGACCGCCGCTCAGGTCTGAAATATGCTGCACGGAGTCGGAGCCATCACTCATTGCATTCCCTAGTGTTATGTTTTTGCCCCTTGTATCATGTCCTTAATTTTGATGATACAGGTCCCGTTGAACCAACCGAAAATCTGTGTAAATTCTGCAGCTCGTAGGACTACTGCTCCCGAAGACTTTGAGAAGCCTCAGTGCTATCCCAATACAGCATTGTGCGGAACTTCATGTTTGCTTCAAAAGCACGACGGTTTTTACAGTTTGGTTTAGGGATGGGCAAGCTTCAGACCCCAGGCTTTGAAGGCATTCTGCGGCAGCTTTTTGAGCCGACCGGAAGGAGGATCCCAGACCGCCTGCAAGGGATGGCGCTTGGACAAGATCGAGGTCCTCGGGTGCTAGATGCAATTTTTGCGAAAGTTCGTGCTACAACTAATGGTCTTTAGGGTTGTGCTACTCGATTGCTGGCATTCCTGGAAGTATGGTGACCTTTGTTGTTTGTGGCTGTGTTTGTGAAGGTGTGGGGCCAGATGGCTGCTGTTTTGTTCGGTTCACCTTTTGCCGGTACACTGCTAGTGGCTAGCAGCGTACTGTCGGCTATCTTCGCCACATTGTCACTTGCTTACCGTGTTCTCGCGGCCTTACAATATCATATAACTGCCTGTCCCGAGTAGCTACTGGTGATAAGGTTGTCATTGATACTGGTAACTCCTTTCCTCCACAAGGTTGGGCCCACGGGCATCGGTCAGCTTGTCGTGGCAGAGGGCTTCTTCATCGGTGAGAAGGACATGTACCAGATTTGCAACAAGCAGGGCCGCCGCTACCGCATGCGGCCTTACGCTGAGGAGCGCAAGACAGATGGCTCCGTTCCCGGCATCTTCCAGCTTGGGCCTTTCAAGATCCACCTCGAGCAGGCCTTCCGCGGTGGCGCCGGGCCCTTCTCCATCGCTTCCGAGCGCCCTGAGGGCTATTCGGGCAACGGCGGCACCGCCGGATGGGGTGAGGACATTCCCACCAAGGGCGGCTACGGTCGTTGAGTTCGTACAAGCAGACCTGAGCAGTCACAATTTTTCATCTCGTGATGGAAAAACCCGTCATTATGTATAGACACATGCCCGACCAAACTGCTGACGTGAGCAGCAAAGGTCCTCAAAAAGGGGAGTCCCAGATCCCAGCTGCTTTCTTGTGTGCGCGCCGGCACCAAGCCTTTGCTTCAGCCGTGCTTCCCACAGACTGGGTTGCTGTTAAGGAATCTAATTTCAATTACTACATTGGGGAAACCATACTAATTAATATGTATATATATATATGATAATTATTATATATGTATACCTATTACATACCGATTGAGGTAACTGACTTCAAGTTCCGTAACAGCAACCCGGCAGACAGCATCAGCAGAACTCAGGAGGGCCGCCGGCGCGGCTGCCAGCCTTGGGCTTGGAGGAGCTGTTGCCAAGTCATTCGTTGCTACTCCCCTCCCCCTCATGTTAAACCCCCCACCCCCCCTTATATTGGATACTCCCAATATATTATATGGTATACCACACAATGGGAGTATTTAATATTAGGGGGAGGGGATTAGTGTATCCTGTTTGGGGCTTGGTCTGAGGGTGGAGGGCTTCAAAGCTGCATCGTGTAGGGTTGGAGGCCTTTGCACTTGGGCGCATTAATTAGGCCGTTATGTGAAGTTATGTTCTGCTTGCCTTTTCGGAGCCGCGGCTTGGTCGTCAGAGCTGTGAATGTTCTTGGTTCATCGGTGTTGCATCAGCAATTGCACGATTTGGCCCTATCCAGCAGGTGCTCCTGGTTGTCCGAGAAGGTGTCAGCCAAAATAAAAGGCATCACACAATATTTTGTTCACAGAGTGTCCCTATCCCCTTGTAAAGGCACCTCTAGCCAGGCAGGATCTTTGGAGTTCGAGAGCTACGGCTACTGCTTCAGCGCCGTCTTTCTTTCCTTTCCTACTGGAAGGTTCATGAGCAGTTGTGTAGGAGGATAGTTGTAGGTTAGAGTCATCGCTGGGGATCATCTTATTCGGGCACCTACAACCCTACATATTCTTCCTCATGAACCTGCACGTACCCCGACCCTCCACTACCCTCTCCAGGAGTTGCTTCAGAGACATCCTCGCCGTCGCAGAGCCACCAACGAGGTCACAGTTTGTCAACCCTATGCAAGTACCCTACAAAGGGATTTGTGTATGTCCTACTTGTGGTTATTCGGTCTCTATGCAGGGTACTTGACAAGTGTAGGTAGAGGTGAGGGTCAGGGTTAAGCTCAGATCAGCTGTTGAGTAGCGTGCTACCATGCAGTTTTTGTGTACGCGAACCTCAAATAGGAAACATAGCCATGCCTGATAGTACTCGAACAACATCCCTTCTTGGCTTTTCGGGAGAACGGCTTAGGTTCAAAGATTGAAGCCGTCGACCGTCGACCAGCGATTATGCAGTGCTTGTATGGAGAACCTAGCACCAATAATGTGGCTCGAGGTTGAACGGGGAAAGTTATTCTTGAATAACACTTCTTAAGATGGACTAACGCAATCCCCTCACAGTTCCTGTGCATCCCTAGGATGTGTAAGGATGCCCATGCTGCGTGCATCTCCTGAATCTTCAGGTCTTGGATACCTTTCGCCGCCGCCTCAGTGGTTTATGAGATGCTAGAGTGACCAGGTGATAGGACCGATTTGTGTCTATGTCTCCTTCTGTGTTGGGTCAAGGGTGATTTCAGAAATGCTACAAGATCTACAAGTTAAAATGTCTTGTGATCTTACGTCAACGATCTGTGTAGGCGAGATGGTGGCCTGTGTAGAAACTGATATTGAGATGCACAACTTTACGACAAGAACGTGTTTCTATAGATCTCTGCTGACCACTAAGGCCCACGAGTTTCGAAGACCTGTCACCATCCAGGACGATGTCGCAAGCGTCTGCTCGTCAGCTTTTGGGTCAACGAAATCCTCCAACTGTCATTTGGAAAGCGGTGGAATCCACAGACGCCATGTAGACGCCTCTGTAGGGACCCCTGATTGTCGAAACCCCCTTAAGGCATTTTTTATGTCGCAACTTGTCGTCGGCGTGCAAGTCAGAGGGCACTCTTGTGGGCAACTGTTGGAACTTTTTGTCCTTTTTTGCAAAGACAGCAGTGCTCAGGAACCTCCCCTTGAAGTCTGATTCAGAGCTGATATGGTAGCCTGAGAAAACAACATCCCTACACGGCATTCTTATGGGAGGATCGTGGAGGCTGATCCCAGCTTTCTCGTTCCGACGCAGCACCCTGCGCGTGAAGCACGCATCACCATTCCGCCGAAGGCAGGGCATGTATGGGTTTGGGAGCCGGCTTCTTACATCGGATCGGGACTCTGCGCATCTTCAAGCAGGTTGATTTCTGGCACCACGTAGGTTAGGAGCAGGTCTGACCCTGCAGAATATCATGTGGGCGAGGACGCGGCTTTCTGGTCCATGTGGGGTCAGTGAGAGAGGTGTAATTCGGATTTCAGCTTCTCCCGATATCCATGGTTCCAGCCACTGGCCCTTCCAGAAACAGATTGCAGTCTTGGAAGAGACTTCCGGATGCCATGCTGCAGTGCTGATTTCTTATTTCCATATAGGATGGCTCTGACACCAAACAGACGCCTGATACCTCCCGTTGAGGCCGACAGAAACTCTGCTTGAAAACCAGCTTGACGCCCCGCTGCACCAGCAACCCCAGTACTTCACCCTTGGCCACCTCCTCCCGGATCCTGGCTTGAAGCTGCAGACTCCTCAAGTTGACTGTCAAAATGCCTACACCCCTGAAGCTTTTACATCCTGCCCGCATTGCTCTTTCACTGTCTTTCCCCATGTGGCAAAGGGCCTTGAAGCCCATACCCTTAGTGCCCTAGTCAGCCCTTCGTACACAGAATCCTCATCGGGCTTGTGCTTTTAGTGGAGACTGCAGAGATGCAGGCGGAGATGGAGTTTCAGAGCCTCACCCGGCGCAGGATTTGGGCCGCTGGGCCTGCCGTTGGGAAGGCATGGGATGCTCTCACCGGGTGAGAAGGCTTCTGTGCATGCTTTACCAAGGGAGGGAAGCCAAAGCCAGAAGTCTTGGGTAAGACATGCTTCGCTTGCTGGCAAGTAGACCATCACCCAGACAGGGAGTCCCAAATCTTTGTCCTATCGAGGCGCGGCCGCGCTTTGGTGATCATGTAGTCTCCTTACTTTGGGTGTGGGGGACGGGACCTTGTATGTAGTAGTTTGCAGGTTCCCTGCCTCACCAATCGAGCCTCTGTCAGTAGTGGTCGTGGTAATTCATTGGGCGCGTTGAGCTCTGATTGTTTTGGTTTGAGTGACTGTAGACTAATGAGACATCATACGGATATGTCACCTCTCCTCGATACTTGCAACAATGCCCCGCCAGTCAACAGGGACTATCGGCACTGTTCTTCAGAAAACAAGAGCTAGTTTCCCTTAATAGGGATAGGCCCCAGTATACTATGTCGTTACTGCAGGGACCTGCAAAAAGGTACCCCTAATCATGTTGGGAAACCCCCAGGCTTCCAGGTATGCCGAGACATTCTCAAAGTCACCTCAGGCCCCCTCACAACCCCCACATATCCAAGGCGTCCCTGTTTTCTAGGATATGGCAGTTTGCCTCAGTATAGACCCCAACATGCTCGATCCTTATGGTTGGGCCTCCAAAAGGTGTCCCTAATTTTGGGAAAACTCATCGAGTAGGTTCCAACCAGATCCCAGGTAGGTGGCAGAGAGATTTTGGAGGTCCTGGGCCACTGGGCGCAGTGTTTGGGGTTTAGCCTTCTGCCAGGTGGACTCAGAAAGTCTGTTGCAAAAAAGTGTTAGGTTTGCAGTGGTATTTCTTGCAAATAGTGTTGCGGGCCATGGAGCAGCCAAACTTGTGTGGCATTTTCTTGGCTCTTGCAAACGGCATCAAAACGGAGCATTCATGAGTGTGTAGAGGCTTTTGATCCGGACATGTGCAAGAAGGCAAGGCGACCCATATGTTTGATGTCGCCGGGAATCTTGAAACCCACAACCCAAATGTATACAGTAAATTCAGAATGCGCAAATTCCTCCAAGTCCAAGAGCACAGTGAAGACCATAAAGGTCGAGCTAGAACTCAGGATTGCGACTCGTTCTTCATCCAGCCCCTCCGCCTATTCAGAAGCTGCGGGAGCTACTGTGGCCGTAAGCTGAGGGTTTTGTGTGTCGGAGTTCCATACACTCACCCAACACTTGTTCTTGGAGAAGTGCAGCTAAGCCTGATCAGTTTTGAAAAGGCACCATGCTTTCATTAGTGATGCTTTGTAGGCTTGGTGGACAACAGAGCCCCAGGCCCGTGGAATGCCAATCGAAGCCTGCTTCCCTGACCTTTCCTCTACCATACTCCAGGCTGCCAGACATGGGGACCTAAAACTTCAAGTGTGAAGCAACCTAATGTTGTGTGCAATTGGAGGGGGCCCTTTTCTGAGGATTTGCAGGTCACAAGGGTCACTTGTTCAGACATTGGGAGCTCTTAAAATTTGGACTCCCCCATTTATAGGCCCCCCACATAGCCACATGCGACATTTAAAACTAGCGTGGTAAATCACCATGCAATCCCAATATTGATTGATTTTCGATTGTCTTTTTCATGTGGCGCTCCATTCATGCGGTAATATCACGACATAATCCCTATGTAACCCCATGTAAACCTACACGATTGATCCCTTTACATTCCCTGTTTAACTTAACCCCTCTGGAATTCCTACATGCCCTTTGTATATCCCTATGTAATCCCGATATACCTTGATATAATCCCCAGATTAACTATAAGCGCCTCGAGGAAAGCAACTGGCGCTTTGGCCGCATCAGGAGAGATCCGCCCATTGGGTTTAGGGTTTGGGTTTGTAGGGTTTGGGGTCTAGGACAACAAAGGTGTCAATCCATGGTTGCTCGGACAAATCGGCGCATCAGGAGGAGGGCTGCGCACGTCGCACACATAATCACATTTTTCAAGACCGCTGGTAGCTTGCTCCCCTCTGTCGCTCCTGGTG